CAGGCCAAGTTGCCGATGCTTATTAAGATAAAATTAGTCTTACAGTGTGAAGTAACTAAAGTGTGGTCTTACAGTTCTCATTGCAATTTGTTTCTTTGCTACTAAGCCCATTAGTGTAATCTGATACACGAATGACCATGTGTATGTCGTCAAAGTATGTGGTAGCATCTCTCTACCCCCACCTACAACGTCAAGTAGACTGGATTATTATTCGGACAATACAGCATTCCAATATTGATCATTAAAATGAAAAGCCATGAATTTGGTTAGTAGAACTTGGTAATCTTCTGGTTTTTTCCCTCTTATCTCTTTATTTCTCATTTTTCTGTCTTTATTTATTTCTTCCTCTTTTCTGTCTTTTATTTATTTCTTCCTCTTTTCTATCTTGATATTTATTCTTCCTCTTTCTACTTTTATTTATTTCTCCTCTTTTCTATCTTGTATTATTTCTTCCTCTTTTCTATCTTTATTATTCTTCCTCTTTTCTATCTGTATTTATTTCTTCCTCTTTTCTATCTTGTATTTATTCTTCCTTTTTCTATCTTGTATTTTATTCTTCCTCTTTCTAATCTTTGTATTTATTTCTTCCTCTTTTCTTCTGTATTTATTTCTTCCCTCTTTTCTATCTTTTATTTACTTCTTCTCTTTTTTCTATCTTTTTTATATTTCTCTCTTTTTTCTCTCTCTTTTTTATATATTTCTTCCTTCTTTTTTTTCTCTCTTTTTTATATAATTTCTTCCTCTTTTTTTCTCTCTCTTTTTATATATTTCTTCTCTTTTTTTTCTCTCTTTTTTTATATATTTCTTCCTCTTTTTTTCTCTCTCCATTTTTATATTTCTTCTCTTTTTTCTCTCTCTTTTTTATATATATTTCTTCCTCTTTTTTTTCTCTCTCTTTTTTATATATTTCTTCCTCTTTTTTTTCTCCTCTTTTTTTATATTTCTCCTCTTTTTTCTCTCTCTTTTTATATATTTCTTACCTCTTTTTTTCTCTCTCTTTTTATATATTTCTTTCCTCTTTTCTGTTGACTTCCCAATTTTATTTATCCTATTCATCATTGGGTACTACCATTATTTTACAAAATTTAATTTAGTAGACATCTCTATTTGACACTTTCGTTTAAAACTTCAATTAAAGGTTCAGTTGTTCCCTTGTTCGTACATATTTAGTGTCTAAATATATGCTTCCAATTATACTTATGCAGTGAATGGGTGTCAGTTTATTTACTTTACAGACAATAATTACTTCTGTTCTTAAGAAAACCCTTTTTCAAAGTCTATGAAAAGGATGCTGGCAAAAAGCATTAACAACATTTAAATTAGTTGTTTTTGAGCATATGAGCGCTTTTTGTGGAATCAGTTTTGTTTCTGACAAAACTTTGTCACTTATTTTATATTAAACCGTTGTAATGATTTGAACATGGAATTGTGTATGCCAGTATTCAGAAGTATAATTGCCTGTGTAATTTTTATTACTCTCACATTTCCTGGCCGTTAAATATTAGATGATTTGGATCTCCCTGGCTCTGTCTTCTTTTTTTCTTCTTTTCCGATTTCTCTTTTTTCCCATTTCTTTTCTTTTCTTTTTTCTTCCTCTTCTTTTCTTTGCTTTTTCTTTTTTCTTCAAATAGCAACTCGTGTGGCCTGTGGTCTGTCTCTTGCGCCTTCTGGCCCCTTGGCTGCCTGCTGCCTTTTGCGCTGACCCTGTGGGTCCTGTGCTGCGCGTTGGGCTCCCTGCTCCTGTCCCTTGCCTGCCCGTCTTGTCGGCCGCTGCTGCCTCGTTGGCCTGTGCCTCACTCCCTCGTCCCGCTTGCTGATCGGTGCGTGTGCGCTGTGTCTTGCTCCTGCCTGTCTCGTCTCTCTGCCTCTTTCTCGTCTGCGTCTGGCCTCTCGCTTTGTGCTGTGCCTTCTGTGTCTTGCCCCTGGGGGTTTCTCCCTGTTGCCTGCCCTGCCTGTCTCTTGCCTGCCCTGCCCCTGCCTGTCTCTTGCTGGCCTGGCCTGCGCTGTCTCTTGGTGCTGCTGCCTGTCCTTGTGCCTGCTGCCTGCCGCCTGCCGTCTTGCCTGCTCTGCCTGTGCCTGTCTTCGTCTGCCTGCCGTGCCTGCCTGGGCTCTGCCTGTGCTCTGCCTGCCTGCTCGTGCCTGCCTGCCTGTCTCTGTGTGCCGCCTGCCTGCTGCCTGCTGCTGCCCTGCCTGTTCTCTGTGCCTGCTGCTGTCCTGCTGCCTCTGCCTGTTCGTGCCTGCTGCCCTGCTGCTCTTGCCTGCCTCTGCCGTCCCTGTCTGCTGTCTCCTGTCCTGCTGCCTGCCTTCGTGCCTGCCTGCTCCTGTGCCTGCGTGGCTGCTGCCTGGGCCTGCTGTCTGTGCCTGCCTGCCTGCCTGTTCTGTTGTGCCTGCCTGCCTGCCTGCCTCGTGCCTGCTGCCTGCCTGCCTGGCCTGCCTTCTGGTGCCTGCCCTGCCTGCCTGCGCTGTTGCCTGCCTGTGCCTGCCTGTGTGTGTGCCTTAGCCTGCCCTGCCTGCTGTCTGTGTGCTGCCTGCCTGCTGCCTGTCTGTGCTGCCTGCCCTGCCTGCGCCTGTCTGTGTGGCCGCTGCCTGCCTGCCTGTCTCGTGTGCCTGCACTGCCTGCTGTCTGGTGTGCCTGCCTGCCTGCCTGCTGTCTGTGCCTGCCTGCCTGCCTCGCTGTCTCTGGCCTGCCTGCCTGCCTGCCTGTCTGTTGCTCTGCTGCCTGCCTGCCTGCCTGTCCTGTGCCTGCCTGCCTGCCTGCCTTGCCTGTTCTCTGTGCCTGCCTGCCGCTGCCTAGCCTGTCTCTGGTGCCTGCCTGCCTGCCTGCCTGGCCTCTGTGCCTGCCTGCCTGTCTCTGTGCCTGCCTGCCTGCCTGTCTCTGTGCTGTCTCTGTGCTGTCTCGTGCCTGGTCTCTGTGCCTGCCTGCCTGCCTGTTCTCTGTTGCCTGCCTGCCTGCCTGGTCTCTGTGCCTGCCTGCCTGTCTCTGTGCCGTTGCCTGCCGCCTGTCCTGTGCCTGCCTGCCTTGCGCCTGTCTCTGTGCCTGCCTTGCCTGCCTGTCTCTGTGCCTGACCTTGCCTGCCTGTCTCTGTGCTGCCTGCCTGCCTGCTCCGTGCCTGTCTCCGCTGTTGCCTGCCTGCCCGGCCTGCCTGTCTCTGGCCTGCCGCCTGCCTGCCTGTCTCTGTGCCTGCCTGGCCTGCCTGGCCTGCCTCTGTGCCTTGCCTTGGCTGCCTGCCTGCCTGCCTCTGTGGCCTGCCTGCCTGCCTGCCTGTGTGCCTGCCCTGCCTGCGCTGCCTGTCTGTGCTGCCTGCCTGCCTGTGCCTGTCTGTGTGCCTGCCTGCCTGCCTGCCTGTCTGTGTGGCCTGCCTGCCTGCCTGCCTGCCTGTCTGTGTTGCCTGCCTGCCTGCCTGCCTGTCTGTGGCCTGCCTGCCTGCCTGTTGTGTGCCTGCCTTGCCTGCCTGCCTGTCTGTGTGCCTGCCTTGCCTGCCTGCCTGTCTGTGTGCCTGCCTGCCTGCCTGCCTGTCTGTGTGCCTGCCTGCCTGCCTCCTGGTCTGTGTGCCTGGCCTGCCTGCCTGCTGTCTTGTTGCCTGCCTGCCTGCCTGTCCTGTGTGCCTGCCTGCCTGCCTGTCTGTGTGCTGCCTGCTGCCTGCCTGTCTGTGTGCCTGGCCTGCCTGCCTGCGCTGTCGTGTGTGCCTGCTGCCTGCCTGCCTGTCTGTGTTGCCTGCCTGCCTGCCTGCCTGTCTGTGTGCCTGCCTGGCGCTGCCTGCCTGCCTGCCTGTGTGCCTGCTGCCGGCCTGCCTGCCGTGTGCCTGCCTGCCTGCCCTGCCTGTCTGTGTTGCTGCCTGCCTGTGTGCTGCCTGCCTTGCCTGCCTGTGTGCCTTGCCTGCCTGTCTCTGTGCCTGCCTTGCCTGCCTGCCTGCCTGTCTCTGTGCCTGCCTGCCTGCCTGCCTTCTCTGTCGCCTGCCTGCCTGTCTCTGTGCCTGCCTTGCCTGCCTGTCTCTGGCCTGCCTGCCTGCTGGCTGTCTCTGTGCCTGCCTGCCTGCCTGTCTCTGCTGCCTTGCCTGCCTGCCTGTCTCTGTGCCTGCCTGCCTGCCTGCCTTGTCTCTGTGCCTGCCTGCCTGCCTGCCTGTCTCTGTGCTGCTGTCTCTGTGCCTGCTGTCTCTGTGCCTGCCCTGCCTGCCTGCCTGTCTCTGTGCCTCCTGTCTCTGTGCCTGCTGCCTGCCTGCCTGCCTGTCTCTGTGCCTGCCTGCCTGCCTGCCTGTCTGTGCCTGCGTGCCTGCCTGCATGCCTCGTGCCTGCGTGCCCTGCCTGCCTCTGTGCCTGCCTGCCTCTCTCTCTCTTTCCTCTCTCTTTCTTTCCCTTTCTCTCTCCCTTTCTCTTCTCTTTCCTCTCTCTCTGTCTCTCTCTCTTTCTTCCTCTCTTCTCTCTCTTCTTTCTCTTCCTCTTCTTTCTCTCTACTCTTCTCTTCTGCTCTCCTTCTCTCTTTCGCTCTCTCTCTTTCTTTTCTCCTCTCTCTCTCTCTTCTTTCTCTCTCTCTCTTTGCCTCTCTCTCTCCTCTTTCTCTCTCCTCCTTTCTCTCTTTCTCTCTCTCTCTCTTTCTCTCTCTCTCTCATTTCTTCTCTCTCTCTCTCTCTTTCTCTCTCTCTCTCTCTTTCTCTCTCGTGCTCTTCTTCTTTCTCTGCTCTCTCTTTCTTCTACTCTCTCTACTTTTTCTCTCTCCTCTTTCTTTCTCTCTCTCTCTTTCTTTCTCTTCTCTCTATTCTATGCTCTCTCTCTCTTGCTTTCCTCTCTCTCTTTCTTCTCCTCTCTCTCTTTCTTCTCTCTTCTCTCTCATCTCTCTCTCTCTTGTTCATTTCTCTCTCCTTTCTTCTCTCTCTCTCTCTCTCTTTCTTCTCTCTCTCTCTTTCTCTCTCTCTCTCTCTCTTTCTGCCTGACCTGTGCCTGCCTCAAGTGTTTTATTGTTATAAAATTGTATATTCTCTATTTTGGGCGCTTATAATGTTTTATTCCTTTAACAAATCTATTCCAAATTTCCTTATTTGAGTTTTCTCACTTATTTTTACTTTTGCACATTTTTGTTTGTAAGTGGTTTTTTCCAGCTCAGATTTTGACTGTTAGTATAGTAAATATTTTTTTCTAGTCTTTGATTAGTGTTATTATTTAGTCATTCCTAATTTTTAATCATTTCTTCCTTGTGTTGCCGTGTATCTTTTTACCTAGTACTTCACTTGCAGTTTTTGTCGTGACTGTTTTAAACTCTTCTCATTCTTGATTTACACTTAAGCTGATGATAGCTCTATTATCCAAATAGTCTAGTAAATGTTTGCAGTATAATTTCCGTATTCTGTAATGTTGTAATAAACTGTTTTTGAAAGGGTTTTCCATCCTGTTGTGATTTGTATATTTTTTAATCCATTTGGTAAGAATATTTATGTGCCACTATCATGAAGTAATCTGAGTGTGTCAAAACTTTTGTTGATTTATGTATCGGTTACAAGAGGGGCTAATTTAGAATTTACTAAAATCTATTTTTTTTTAAATTTGTTGCATCATTAACGCAACACCTCTCTTGAACCCTTGTTGGTTGTGCGTTGATCGCTTACATGGAATAATCCTCCTTTACTAGCTTCGTAAAGTCTCATCATGTTGCAGTCAGTCAGTGCCTTTTGTCCCTTCGGCCAGGCCATTAGATCCTAGAGTTCCATGCCTGTCACCCAACCAGGAACCCGATAGTCTCCAATTACCTAACCTCCGTGACTTCACAGTGTAGTAAACGGAGTCAATTAGTAATGTCGGCTTTTATAATTTATTGATTTTGTCTTTTGGGACACCCATGTTTATTTCTTTTCTTAAGTTAAAAATATTAATGATTGTGCCCATATTCTATGTAAGTGATCTCTAAAACTTTCATTAAACAATTCTGTATGGTAACCTTTACTTAGTTTGTTCCCTTTAATGAGATTTAAATTCATCTTTCAGCATTGTATGATGCTACATGTACTTGGAGTGGAACATTACCTCCAAGGAGTCAGAAAAATTCTGGATATTCCTGCAAGGTAATTAATGCTATAAGAGTATTTCTTTCTGTTGAAATTTTTTTCTTTTTTCATATTCACGTGCACACAGTTGGGTGCTAGATCAACTGACTACCTAGCAGAAATTCATAATGTAAACCTATATATTTATATATTTCTTTTCAATATGTATGCCTTGTGTTCCCTTGACTTATTTTCCTTGGTGACTTTTGCTGCTTAACCCCGCAAACTTTTAAAAATACAACTAAACACCATCATATTCCTGTTATAATTAGATTGCTGCCATGCAGTAAAAACTTTCTTGCATAAATGGTATTTTTTCAACAGTCCTTTTCTCAAGGTTCTTCGTCATAGTTTGTCATGGTGGATGTGGGGCATGTACAAGTATATTCAACCCAAGATTAATTTTCCTCTTTAACTGGGTCTTGACGTTGAATAAAATGAACTTTGTGTGCAGTTTCAAGTTATAACAAGTATTATTAGTAGGAATGGAAGATCTACCACTCATCAAATATTTACAGTGAGGCAGATGAGAGGAATGCTGGGAACATGGTATTAGTGTATATCACGTTTTTGTGGTTTTCAAGTGTACGATAGTATTGCTAGAAATAAGCTGTATGAGATACTTAGGAATCAAGAAATACCAGTAAAACAAATAAATCTTTTACTCTTATCAATGGCGGCAACCAAAGCAGTAGAGAAGTTACAGGTATGTAAAACAGGCTTGAAATCGGACAAGGGTTAAAACGAGACAGATTGGCTCTCCTGCTGTTTAATCTTGCATTTGATTGGGTGGTTCAACAAATGAATGTAGATCTGAGTAGTAAGTTCCTACATAGAGCAGTACAGATAGTTGGATATTCTGATAATATAAACATTATGGGAAGATCAATATCGGCTGATAGCGAAGCATTACAAGACATAAACATTTAGGCTAAGGAAACTGGATTAAGTATTAATGCTGATAAAACTATAACAATGGCAAAAAAAAGGAATAGAAAAATATCACTTACTCTGAATGAGAGCAGACTACAATAAGTTAATGATTTCAAATACTTGGGCTTTGTGATCACTAATGGTAATAACAAAGGGACGGAGCTATAACAACAAATGATTGTGGTCAACAAAACATATTATTCCCTCTGAGGAATATTTAAAAACCACGAAGTGAGCAGGAGAACAAAAATATCTATTTACAAAGTAGTAATATGGACAGTGCTTAACTACAGGTGTAAAACGTGGGTTATGAATCGGAAAGATATCTTGTGAAACTACCATGAAGCTCTTTATTATTTATAACAGTAATATTATTACGAAACTTGGAAAATTTTAATAAAATATTCATTAGTAACTTAATCATTATTGACAATAAATAATTAAATATAAATTAGATATAAATTAATAGTACAAATTTGTTAAATTTCCCTTTAAGGTTGATTGTTAAAACCGTTTTTAATATCTAATTGTTGTATTTTAGGTCTTCTTGGGAGGTGTTCCTTGGGACATGAGTGAAAGTGCTCTGCTTTCAATATTCAAAGATTTTGGTGCTGTAAGAGTAGAATGGCCAGGAAAAGAACATGCTGCTTCACAACCAAAAGGATATGTTTACATTATTTTTGAATCAGAAAAACAGGTAAGGAAGTTTATTAAAAACTTAATTCTGACATACAATTTTACTATGCGCATTAAAATTATTTTCTAATGCACATTAAAATTTTGTAATGCAGGTAAAGGCACTCCTACAGGCTTGCACGCAAGATTTTCGAAGTCTTGGTAATTGGTATTACAAAATTTCATCACGCAAAATGAAATCAAAAGAGGTAAGATATGTTGAAAAAATTCGAGAGAACTTACTATTGCACTTCACTCTTCTGCAACCCACAAGGGCTTTCAGGTAGTCACATACTTGGAATTAAAATGCAAATATTGGAAATTTTGGACAATGTTTTTAATGTACATACACATACATTTGCTTTACACTTCTACTACTCGCTATGTACATTCAAAATTTGTGATTGTGTAGAATGAATTTTTTTAAGCCTGGCTCATTCACTGCTGCTGCTGATAATTTGTGGAAGAAAAACAACCACTTTTTTTTATGTATTAATTAGGGGAATATTTTAATCTCCAAATAAATCAGTCTACAGTGTAAAAGGGGTGATAATTATTAAGCAGAAAATTTTTGATTATGGATTGGATGGTGGAAATGGTCTACTGACATGTTCAAATTATTAAACTAAAGACATTTTTTATAAAAGATTTATTACATGTCCACATTCATATACATGTTAGTCATAAATTTAATACTTACTGTAAGTGTGCGTGCCTTTCTTCTTCAACAACAATTTTATCCTGTTTGGCATAATGTCTACCAACTTTTCACCTGAGTTTTTAATTTCATCACAGTATAAAGTCTCCTCTACTTTGTTCAAGACTTCTTGTATTCTTATTCTCCTCTTGGTAATTCCCCATACATTTTTATTGGATTCAAGTCAGAGCTATTCCGTGACCATGGTAACACTTAAAATTGCTTTTCTTCCAAATTCTTGACACTTATATACATACAAAATGCAACCAGCCAGGATCTTTGGTCAATAGAAACATCTCACTTAACAGCATTTCTCTGAAATTATATTGTGGAATTTAGAAGAGACATGCTTTAGTCTAGTAATATGAACATGTCTGTTGAATTGACTGATTTTATGCCGCAACATTAATCCTAATTAAAATTGTGAATCACTGAATAAATAGTTATTAGTCATTCCACGTCAAATCAAACACTGTTTTAACTTTAGGTGTTAGAGATTGATTAAAACTTCATGAATGTGTTCTGGGGGTAACAAAAAGAGGCTCAAATGTTTTTGTTAGAATTTAACTTAATTTTTTTGGAATTTGTGCCTCCTGAAATTTTCTGAAAAACTGTGTGCTACATAAATAAAAATGCTTTTTTCTCCTGCCGTGTTCGGAGCTGAGAATAGTCTTGAATAAAAACTCTTGACACGGAAACTTAAAACTATTTATTGTTGGATTAAATAGTTAAGTATCAATAGTTCATTAAATTTTAATTAATTGTATAAATTGAAATTTTACAAATTTTGCAAAAATATAACTTTATTTAAAAAATATTATCAGTTTAATGAACTTTAATTGTGCAAAATAAATATAGATATAGATATAGATATAGATAGATATATAGATAGATATAGATATAGATATAGATATAGATATAGATATAGATATAGATATAGATATAGATATATATAGATATATATAGATATATATAGATATATATAGATATATATAGATATATATAGATATAGATATATAATTGCTTACTATTGTAAAGATATTTCTTTAAGAGCGTGATGTGAATTCTTTGAAGAAATCTGTCGATGATACTGAATAAATATTTAGTGAAAATTTATTTTCCATAGCAATTGCATTGCTTTTTGTTTTTATTTGATATTGTTATTACAATGGAAGTTACATTTATACATTTTTAAACAAATAAATACTTTTTTTTTTTTTTTTTTTTTTTCTCTTTGGATGGAAATAGGATAGGGAAGAGTGTGGGGTTTAACTTGTGAGAGTTCTCACATGGTTATGCAGAGGTAGTAGGGGAAAACCTGTGCTAACTTAAAGAATAAACCTTTCAAAATACCTACAGCAAAATAGCTTGAAAGAAAAGAATAAAGAACAAAAATCAAATGTTGTCAAAAATCATTTTATTAAGTATAAATAAGGTTTTTTTAAAATTCAATCAGTCTTCAATATTGAAGGTCTCGGAAAGTTCTCTTGTATAACACCATACATTCCATAATATTAGATCTTTAAATAATTTTATTTACAACTTTACAAATTGTTAGTTGTTACCATGAAATTTTAAATTAAAATGAGTTTTAATACAGTATTTTATAGAAGAAGAATTACATATTACTTTAGAATAATATATAATCTTATATGTACAGTAATCGTAAGAATATATCTGTAGAAGAATATAGAAAGTAACCAGGGCACAACAGCAATCGTGCTTCAATACCTGAAAGGTGAGCACCAAGAATTGGTATCCTGAAGAGCAGTGTTTAATTCAGCATTACCGAGACCGATGTTTCTATTCCAAACCTTTTTTAAGCTGCTG